AGAGCACTTAAGCTTTTCATGCTTTTTGGTCAACTTCTCCAAGCATTTGATCTTGTTGATGAGAAACTCTTCTTGGTCATGAAGTGTTTCTTCTTGCTCTTGAATTTTCTCTATGAGCTTAAGCACCATCAACTTGTTTTTCTTGCTTAGACGTGCCAAGTGTTGATTGAACTCATCATCATCACTTTCATCTTCACTCTCATTCTCACTTTCACTCTCACTCTCACTTGCCGCACTCTTCTCTTTCTTTGCCATGAGACCCACATGAGAAGTAGCATAGAGAGTTGAGCTTCTTGGTGAGGTGGATTCATCATTTGGCCCCCACCGATCATAATCTTCTTCTTCCTTCAAAATGTTAGTCTCACAAGAACTAGAGGAAGAGAAGTACCACATGTAAAAGCATTGTCCTCACCAACCATTTCATTACCTTTCACTAAGTCATATGTTGATGAGGTAGTGGATGTGGCATGATCCCTGAGACCTTTTGAGAGAATCACTTGAGGCTCTTCATTTGTCAGTGACGTTGAGCACTCCTCAAGTGGTTTCTCCAATGAGAGCAACTTCTCATCATATTTGGACTTGTCATATTTTTCTTTGAGCGTGGTACAAATGAGATGAGCATCATCAAGCGGTTCACCATCTCCAAATATGACGGCATCAAAAACATTTTCACTCAAAGCACTAAATAAGACACTAGTAGCTTGAGCATTGTGTTGTAAGCATTTCAATTCCTCTTTAGATAAGATAGCCAAATCATCACTAGGAGGTGAAATGCTCACATCTACAATCCGCTTGATATGAGGACCCATGCCCCTAAAAATAGCAAGCACACTAGCGGACCAAGATGCATAATTCGAGCCATCTAAAAGTAAAAGTTCTAGAGATACCTCCTCACTTTTCGACATCATCACTCAAGGCAGTTAAGCCCGAAATTGACAGCCTTGCTCCGACACTAATTGAAAGGACCATGATGTCACCTAGAGGGGGGTGAATAGGCCTATTTAAAACAAACTCGCAATGGAAGTTAGATTCTAAGTGTGGCACTGCCTCACTAAAAATGCAACACTGCCGCACTGTAGCACTGCCGTACTAAATATGCAGCACTGCCACGCCTGCGCAGAGAGTTCAGCAATAGCTGCGCCTAGAACCAAAACTCGGAGATGTGCGTGGAGATGTCCAGTGGCAAGTCCACTAAGTACCTGCACTCACAAACATGCACAGCCAAGTAGATCGAGTGGAACACAAATAATACAATTCAAAGCACAAGAGAGAAGACACACGATTTATCCCATGGTTCAGCTCGCCACCAAGGCTTGCCAATGTCCACGTTGTTGAGGCAGCCACTAAGGCTTGGGCTTTGCAACCCTTATCCTTGTTCTCAAGTCAAGCGAGTGAACTCTTAAGATGAGGGGTTTCCACTAGATCAATGGGTAATACAAACTTTCCCATAGCTCACCACAAGCATGGGAGCTCGTCGGGCGACGCCTAGCCGTCTAGGAGGCTTTACCTCCAAGAGTAACAAATGTGCAATGAAGATCGACGAAGCCCAATAAGTGCTCAAGGATTGGCTTGCTCTTAATTGCTCTATAATACTTAATCAATCACTAATCACTCACTCTCGCAAAGAGAGGGGTTAGAGAGAGCTCTCACATAGCTTGGGAAGGGTTTGGAATAGTTGGAGCATCAGCAGCAACACCAGGAGGCATGGGATGGGTATTTATACCTAGTCCAAACAAACTAGCCGTTGTAGTTTAAAAACTAGCCATTATGACCTGTACAGGTGCGGCACTACCGCGGTGCAGCACTGCTACGAAAATTCATGGCATTTTCGCAGCTATGAAAAACAGCACAGGTCACCTCACAGAAAACGTCATAACTTTTTACTCCGGACTCCATTTTTAGTGATATTGGACTTTCCGAAAAGCTTGTTTCGAGGGCTATCAAGCCCAGCCAACAACAAGCCTCAAGATCAGAAAGTGCAGGTGCTGTGATAAGTGTTTTCTCTCATGGTAGCACTTGGATTTGGTTAGTTTGAGCACTTGAGACTTGTCTATTGCATCCTCCTTGATAGTATGGCATACCTATACTCAAGATCAATTGAATATAACCATTTCAACCACTTGAGTATTCAATGTCTTCATATGCCATTTCTTCTCAAATCGCTTCATAAGGGGTTGCAATCAACTTTGTCTCCTCTCTTTGAGCAAACATACCTTGAGCATGTGACTTGAACCATTTCAACACATGTGAGTTCAATCCATGGCTTCAAGTCACTTCCACTAATGATTTGATCCTCAACACAATATGACTCATCATAGCTTGATTAGTTCTTCGACTCAATGCAAGTACTCTCTTCTTCACCTTAGCCATGATACCTCGGTCCTCAAGCCATTGCTTGCCCTTCACCTCTGCTTAGTCCCTCAAAGCCCTTTCTTTGCTATCTTCACCTTATCAAGCCATACTCAAGTCATATAATATTAAGCATCCATTGAAAAACTATTTCTTCATTATTGTAATCCTTGCTTGAATATCTTCTAGATATGAATGTTGAGATCAATCAAGCTTCAGTTGGATTCACATAGATTGAGATATATGTATCAACATCAATATGGTCAAACCAATTTATGATTCCTTATATCCTATTCATTTTGGCTTGACACTCTTAACACTCACTTCAATATCTATCTTCATACTTCTAACTTGATCAAATCAATGCAAAGTGATTTTCTAAATCTTTATCCATACAAGCAAACCAACATAGAGACCGACTTATATCCAATATGAGTTGTGTCCTTTGTCATTTAAACCTTTGCTTGGTATTTCTTCACTTATGCATTCTTGACTCATTCTTCAATCCTTGATCAAGGCTAATCCACTATCAAACTCTTCTTGTTCATGCAAAGCAAGCCATTATTGAAACCAATCCAAATCATCAACTCATGTCTCTTTTGCCATTTGCCAAATATGCTTGCTTTCTCATGATACTATGATATTCCTCAACATATAAGCCATTTCATCAACTCTATTTGCATTGTTGTCTTTCTCTTAAATTATATTGTTTATGTGATCTTCCAACACAACAATATACAATTTTGGTCTTGATTTGAATATTATGTGCAATATCATCAAGTTTGCCTTCTTATTGAACCTATATACACTTCTCATTCCACAATCCACAAGTGTATGCAATAACTTAATTTCCTGTTTAACACTTAGCAAATTTGTTAGTCCTTTAATGGTGTTGTCATTCAATTTACCAAAACCCACTAAAGGGCTAGATGCACTTACACGCGCACACACGAGCCCGCGCCGCCCCTAAACGTCACCAGCATCGAGAAGAGGGGGGGAGGGGTGGCGGATGCCAGCTAGCATCAGGAGGAAGAGACACCGAGGCAAGGCAACAGAAAGCGAGGATATAGAGATGCAACACCCGATCTACTTTTAAAACATCCAGATGCAACATTTGTAACATACATCTAAAGGCAGATGAAACAATTAAAACATGCATCTAAAACATTTGCAAAAACACTTGAAAAACATACGCAACATCCAGATAAAACACTTGTAACATTTGTGTGAAACATATGCAACATCCAAATAAACACACTTGCGACATATGTCTGGAAAAAACAGATGAAACATTGGGAATATAAGCTTGCAACATACGTGTATAACCATTGCAACATTGCAACATCTCGATCTACTTTTGCAACATCCGTATGAAACCCTTGCAACATACATCTGAAACAACTTAAACACTAAAACATACACTTGCAACATGCGCTTTCAGCTAATGTCACCTTGCTGCTTGGACGAATGGAGCTCATCGTTGTGGAGCTCGACGCAGGTGCGGATCTCAATGCCATAGAGTACGCAGAGGTCGCCAGTGCGGGAGCTCATTGGTGATGTGCATATGTTGTAATGGTTGTACACGTATGTTGCAAGCTTCTATTCCCAATGTTTCATCTATTTTTCTAGACGTATGTTGCAAGTGTGTTTATTTGGATGTTGCATATGTTTTACACATATGTTACAAGTGTTTCATCTAGATGCTGCGTATGTTTTTCAAGTGTTTTTGCAAGTTTGCAGATGCATGTTTCAAGTGTTTCATCTGTCTTTAGATATATGCTGCAAATGTTGCATCTAGATGTTTCAAAAATAGATCGGGTGTTACATCTCCATCCTCGCTTTATGTTGCCTCGCCTCAGTGCCTCCTCCTCCCGACGCCACCTGGCATCCACCCCCTCCCTCTCTTCTCAATGCTAGTGACGTTCGGGGTGGTGCGGGGCCCATGTGAGCGTGCGAAACGACAAGGAAACGGTTGTAGGCGCAAGTGTCCGCACGTCTCGTCCATCTAGATGTTCGGGCGCTGGGCGGACGGATGCTTGCTCCCCAAAATTACCGTATAATCATGGGTGGCCCATGCTCAAATAGGAAACAAAATGTATGAAGGATTTAAATTCTGCTAATTAACATTCCTCGTAGATTTTTTTTGTTCGTTGATCCAGCTCGTCTCGATTGATCGTGACTCCTGTTTTTGTTTCTTTTTTACATCTCAGCACATGCCATGGATCTCAATACCAAACTAGTTGAATTCCCTACGTGTTGCCGCGGGAATTTTTTGTTAAGAGTATAGATGACCATTTGATGAATTTAGGGTAGCACGAAACATCCCCTGGTTGACTTGGGGGCAGGGGCGTTACCCTGTTGCAGTTTCATCCTGCATAAACGGATGATCAAGACTGATATGAATGTACCGATTAGTTCTATTTTTAGTAGGAGTGATCAAAACAATTTTTTGTATGGAGTATTTGCTTCCTTGACCTTCTTTTTGCCTTCTTCCACAATGGATCTTGATTCTGAAGATGAATAGAGGAGGAGCTGAACATTCCTGTTATCAAGGAAAACGGTATCTATAATCTCTGTTGCGTGAAATGTGTTTCCATCTTTCTTAGCTTGAGCTTTTGCTTGATGAGGTGGATTATGAACACATCTACTTGATGTCTCAAGGAAAAGCTGATGGGAAAAAGGAGCATAAAAGTCAAGAGAAGGCAGTTGCTGCAGCTTCAAAATCTAGTCTTGCTTCTAGGCTTGTTGAAAAGAAAAGCAAGGATGATGATGATTCGGATGAGGATGAGACTGATTATTCGGATGAGGATGAGACGGATGATTTTGATGAGGGTGAGGGATTCCTGAAGAAGGCGACGATGATGTGAGTTGAAAGATGGACAAATGGTTTGTGTACATGTCATGGTTGTTCCTTGTTGATAAGTTCCATCGTTGTAGGATTCAAGTGATGAGGATGATACCAGTGAGGATGAGGAGGAAACTCCAACACCTAAGTAGGTGCACTTATGGATTTTACTCCTGTGTTAATTTCAGTAATCTGCCAAAGGGCCTCTAGTCCAACTGGTTAGAGCGTCCCGGCGGCACTACTCAGGTTCTGGGTTCGACTCCCCGTGGGAGCGAATTTCAGGCTGGGGTTAAAAAAATCCTCTCGTCTGTCCCACGCCAAAGCACAGGTCTAAGGACCGGTCCGTTCTCACAGGGCGACGGTGCCGCTGTGTAAGGATGGGGCAAGGGTTCGGGGGTTTTCTGGGCCTGCGTGAGAATGTCTTCTTCTTAATGCAATGCCCGGGGTGGTCATACCCTCGCAGGTCCAGTTTTTTTTTAATTTCAGTAATCTATTGTTATTACATATCACTATGATATCAATGTGCTCTTATGGATTTTACTCCTGTGTTAATTTCAGTAATCTGTTATTAAATATTGCTATGATATCGATGTGATGTTTTTCCTGCCTTTTTCAGCCAGAGGCAGGCAAGAAGAGAGCTGCTGAAAATGCTCTGAAAACTCTGCTTTCTGATAAGAAAGCAAAGGTTGCCACGCTGTCAGCCCAGAAGACAGGTGTGTACTCAAGTAGCTTGTGCTAGGGCGTCAAGTAGTCTTTTTGCCATGGAACTCTTGCTATGAATTTGTAATTTGTAACATGTATTCCTCTTGCAGGTGGCAAGAAGGGCACCACCCATGTGGCAACTCCATACCCAGCCAAGCAGGCGGGCAAGACCCCTGCAAACAATGACAAGTGAAAGGAGAAGTCTCCAAGATCTGGTGGGTCGGTCCCTTGCAAATCGTGCAGCAAGTAAGTAGGCACAGTTTTATTTGGTGAGCCTATTTGATTATTTGGTGAGAAAACAATGTATTGATCCTTGGTCTCTGTTCGTTGTTCTGTCTAGGACATTCAACAGTGAGATGGCTCTGCAGGCTCACTCAAAGGCGAAGCATCGGACCAAGTGAGTCGCAGGTCCAATCGAGCCCTCGAAGGCGAAACATGGGACGTCCAAGTGAGTCTGGAAAGAATGTCGGTGGAAGTCCTGGCCTTATTTTGTTTAGAGATTAGAGACTAGTTGCTATTTGATTGATTCAGCAAAACAAGACTGGTGTGTGAACTTTAATATTTTGGGCTGTCCAGCTGGTAGTATTTGGATTTGTTCAATGTGCATTCGATTGTTGTGCTGTGAATTGGTGGTTTTTTAGCTATATATGGTGAGATCTCCTACAGATTCTTATACGGTAGTAGAAGCACGGTCCATTGTCGCACTGGCTCCTGTCGCATTCTATTTCTTGAAAGGGGCTCTTGTGTTCTTGTCTCTATTTTGAATTCCTAATTATGATTTTACTTTTATTTTCTTCCACTTTGTGTTTTTACCTCTGCTTTTTCAAAATGAAGGTTCAGTTTATCCCTACTCCATGAACAGCAGGTAACGGTGTTAAAAAAAGTTGACAGATGATAAGTTTGCCCTTCTGAATATTGCGTTTTTACCCCTATTTCAAACCCAATTGTGATTTTACCCCCACTTTCTTCCACTTTGTGTTTTTACCCCTACTTTTCCAAAACGAAGGCTCCGTTTACCCTAATTCTTAACTCAGTTATCTACATCCGGATCAAAGCAATTAAAAATTAATAAAAGCCCTGTGAAAAGACAAACTTACCCCTTATCTCTCGGTCGTCTCTCTTAGGGTCGTCCCTCTCAACGCTAGCAGTGCAGCGGCGCTGAGGCGCTAGCGGCGGCGTGGCGGGCGGAAGGACAGCTGGTCAGTGGCGGAAGCACGCGCGCGTCGTCAGCAGGAAGCGGCGTATGCCGCGCGCTTAGCGACGCGCTGAGCGCAGCCAGCATCGCTGCTTGCTGCGCGCGCGCTGGGTCATGGTCGCGCATGTGCTTGGCTGTTCGCAGCGACCATGGAGTCAAGACCCGCTCTCTCTCAACTCTAGCGGATGGCTAGGTGTGGCGGCGGCGGCCAACAACGGGTCCGCTTGACGGCAGCGCGTAGTGGCGTAGGTGATGATGTCCAAAGCTATGATTTTGTACCTAGGCAACACCAAATCATAGCTCGACCTCTCTCTCTCAACTCCATTGCTCGGCCGCACACACCACTCACGGACACCGCCTGACGGGCTGGGCGTGTCTATTTTCAGGTCACATGATTTTGTACCTAAACCATCCGCCAAATCATAGCTTGAGAGAGAGAGGCGGTCTCTTCGGCTCCATGGTCGCACCGCTTACGAGACGCCAAGGCCACCGCTTAACCTTCCGGGCTAAGTCACACCATCCGCTTCGGCTGAGCGAGCGGGTCTTGACTCCATGTCGGTCATTTCACGATACAGCTAAGTCAGTTGCCATAAGCGCCAGCTTACTTCTCCGCTCATCAACACGCTGGGCCGCCACGCTACCGCCTCGACGACGCCCCGACACGCTTTTTTTCGCCACCACACACAAGACTCCACCGCGCCAAGCTGCTAGCGTTGAGAGGGACAACCCTGAGAGAGACGACCAAGAGATAAGGGGTAAGTTTGTCTTTTCACAGGGTTTTTGTTAATTTTTAATTGCTTTGATCCGGATGTAGATAACTGAGTTAAAAATTAGAGTAAACGGAGCCTTCGTTTTGAAAAAGTAGAGATAAAAACATAAAGTGAAAGAAAGTGGGGGTAAAATCACAATTAGGGTTTGAAATAGAGGCAAAAACGCAATATTCGGAAGGACAAACTTTCATCTGTCAACTTTTTTTAACACCATTAGCTGCTATTCACGGAGTAGGGGTAAACTAAACCTTCGTTTTGGAAAAACAGGAATAAAAACATAAAGTGAAAGAAAATAAAAGTAAAATCATAATTATGAGTTTTCTGAAAACTGTCGTGCTTTTCTGCTTTCGTCTGAACCCGTGGTTGGTGGTTTGGTTAGCTCCTGTCCTTCTAAACCGGCTGACGCCGCCACCAATTCCCACTGCTTTGTTCCCTCGACGCCAAAGCCCCGCCCCTCCTACCAATTCCCACTGCTTCGTTCTCTCGACGCCACCCGGGCATGGTCTGGGGTCGTCCTCGTCCGCTGGAGGAGGACGGCGAGGTGGAGAGGTCCAGAACCACCAAGCCCAAGAAATAGAACCTAGCTAGCTCATCATCTGTTAACTAGACTAACTGACTGGCTTTTCCCTTTCATCAGAGGCTACACTGATGAAGCTGCGACATGGCTCTCTGCAAGCTTTTACTACAACAGACCGGCGGCTGGGGCTGGATGGAGGCTTTGATGATGGACCACAACCAAACAAACAAAGGAAAACACTGGGATCTAGATGTCATTCATGTCAGCGAGCGCTTGCTTGGTCGACTTTCCTTTTTTTTTTCTCGAACACGCAGGACAGCTGTGCGTAGGATAGAACATTCGGGTTACAAGCCGACTCCACGGCATGGGTTAGTTTTTTAACACATACAGCCATATCCACTAGCTCCAGCCAACTAATGTATGAATTTCCTCCGGCTTAGATTCCACTTGTCTCCCTCCCAAGTCCCAATCCATCCATCCATTTTAAGTTAAAGCCTGATGATGCTTAACCTATCTAGCACTAGGAGCAAAACAAATCAAACGCCTTGCTTACGCAGGCTACCCAAAAACCCATAAATCTTTCTCTGGCGAGCCAGACCTTCAAACGAAAAGCAACTGGACAAGTTCTCTTTGATTGTGCTTTCATTCATCGTCCTCGGCATCCTCAGCACCGCCCGAGGACCAACAGTTAGCTGTTAGCAGAAACGATATCAACGATAGAAGAAACAACACATCAGACTTTTATGGTCTAGTCACAGGTGCCCATTCTATCACAAAGCTTAGCACCAACAGTTTCGTTTGCTTCTTACATCACCCTACAATAATGTAAATTCTGAAATGCAGATGCTAAATAATGATACAGCTGATATATTCCACCATAAATAAACTACTAATCTGTGCTGGCTGAGTGATCCCCAGAGAAGGCGCTTCCACCGCCCGAGAAGGAAAATGCCGAGGACCCAGACTGCGAAGCGGCGGCAGCACCACCAACCCCCAGGCCACGGCTCCTCTGAATCTGCCGAAGCCTGAAGATGTCTCGTGGCACAGCTGCCCTGCTCTGCAGCGTTGACGCATCCTCTTCCTCCTGCAACCCTTGCCCTGTGTTCCATTCCGTTGCATATCATATAGATTACCTCACGTTCCATTTTATCACACCGACAGAAACAGCAACAGAGATATTGTATTACTTACTTTCCACGTCCTTCCTTCTCTCCCTTGGAGGTCTATGAACAGATCCATTCTGGTTTAGTCCCGCTTTTCCAACGCCTGAGAGCTCACTCACACCACCTGCTTTCCCAGCACTCTGTGCAACTGGCAATGTGCTCTGCAGCAGCACGCTGAGCACCACATCAATATCCGGCGATGGTCCTGCCAAGATGCTCATATTTTCAGCATCAACTCAAAACTGACCATTCGGTCGTTCGTGTCTTGCAAATAGAAGCCCTCAACGGCCCATGTCAATTACGTGCCCGAAGTGAGAGGGGTGAATACCTTCAATAGCAGGCAAATTCTTAATAAAGGACACCACCGACGGCGATAGCACTTTGAGCATGTCTTCAACCTCCTTCGTGTACCCACTGCTAGTTGCTGCAAACTCTGGGCCTGTCCAAGAATCCACAGTGATTTTCCACTCTGCTTGCCAGCCAAGGGGGAAACTAAACAGCAATGTCCCATGACCAATTACACCACAAACTGAATTCCCCTTCCCCTTCCCCTTCCTAGACTGCAAATAAAATGGCTAAATATATCTAAAACACAAAAATGAATGGGGTCCTGCTTATCGGTCACAAGAAATGAGCTCAAACGTGAAATTTTTGGAATACTGTAAAATTCTTCCATACGAATACCTTTCATCTGTCTTGGATCATAAATGATCATTTGAGAAGTCTCAGGACGAACAACTTTGGCACTCACACTAAATCCTGCAGCACCTTTGTCTGAGCCAGAGATAGTAAACACACTCAGCAACTTTCCCATATATCATGTTTATTAAGACATCCACCATAAGTAAGCGGCTTACCTAGCATGCTACCGCTATTTAGCATAGCTGATTTGTCAACCTTCTTAACAATGTTTTTCGCTAGCCACTGCAATAGTAATTTTTTTTTTCTCAAACATGCAGGACAGCTGTGCATCATAATGTTAAGAAGAAATACGGGGGTTTAGAAACCCCTTACAACACCATACACACCCCCAACACACTTCAAAAGGCACAATCCGTCTCTTTCTAGACAAAGACCTGACCCTTGACCACTAGCAGGAGAACTCACCCATTGGCTGGCTCTAGAGCAAGGAGATGGGAAACTCCTCGAGCTCTGGCCAGACTCCAGAGGTGTAGTTCATCCTTAACTACAGCTAAAACCCTATTAAGACTAGGTTGAATCCCATCAGACACACATCTGTTACAGTGGTTCCAAATAGACCATGTTAAGAAAGCGTGAGGCTTTTCAGTAACTCTGTACAAAAACTGCACCAAAAATATCACGCAGGAAAACATACTACCTTTCTTAACCAAATTAACAGAAAATTTAAGGGTCACATCCATGTTGTATCATATTATTGGTATATGAAATATACACTAATATTTTTTTTATTTATGGAAGCACATGAAATCTATCACCTGGATTTACTAGTCTGTACCATCTGATTGTTGCAAGCAGCTTGCAGAATCACTGCTGAGGCCACACATACAGGCAAACTTTTATATTCAA